GGCACTGAATCCAGAGAGTGTTAATGCTGTAACTGATGATTACTGTTAGTTGAATTCTGGTTAGCTAGAATTAGTTAATGAAAGTGTTTTTCGTAACTCTTGAGTCCTTTGCTCGACAAAATGTTGAAAATGACTTACATTGATTTTCTCAATCCTGGACAAATGAGATTTCCTTAGCCTACATATATCTTTTTTTAAAAATTATTTATTTATTTATGCATACACAACTAGAATACAGGCCAGAGGTGCCAGGAATGAAAAGAATCACCAAAGACAGAGTGGGGAGCAAAACAGGCAGATCTACTGAAGTACACGCTGAGGGGAGCAGCGGTAAGACAGGAGAGGTCTGCCGCGCCATGTGGTCACCTCCGGGGCAGGGGATGGAACTCTTGCTACAGTGGCTGTGTGCATTAACCCGCTGCGCCACTAGGGAGGGCCCATCTACATGTATCATTTTAAAAAAATACATCAGTACTCATATTTATATTTGTGGCAAAAATATTTTTTGGCAAACTTAGCATCTCTCTCAGCTGTGCATTTGAGAATTGCCAGTTCTGCAGTAAATTGATGGTCACCCAAATTGAAAGCCACTGTTGTTCAAATCATTCACTAAGCTCATGTTTCTCTTTTGGTTTCCAAAGAGCCATGAGACTTACCCTTCTAGGTACGTGAGGGGATCTAACATGGTCAAGGACAAGAAAGTCAACAAAAGGAATAGACTATCTTCAGTTTTGTTTACACTACAATTACCAAAATTATATGTTTTTCTGACAACTGAAAAGTTACTGTCCAAATTCATGATAGCAATTTTGAGCAACCAAAACAAGGGCCCATATTATTATTACACTGAAATCTACTTTGCCATACATTAGAATCAGGGAGCTTTTGAAACTCGAGATGCCCAGACAGTATCCTATATCAATTAAATCTGGGGCAGGGAGTCAGCTGTTAATATATTTTTTTAAAGATTTATTTATGCATACAGAACTGGGGTACAGGTCAGAGGTGCAGAGGTGGAGAGAGGACTCGCCAAAGACAGACACTGGGGAGCAGAACAGACCGACTGACAAAGTACACTGCTGAGGGGAGCAGCGAGTGGTTCAGGAGGGTTCTGCCATGCCATGTGGGTCACCTCCAGGGTGGGGACTGAACTCATGCTGAAATGGCTTTAACTTCTTAATGCTGTGCTTTAACCCACTGTGCCACCAGGGAGGGCCCAACCATTAATATTTTTTAAAAGTTCTCTAGGTGATTCCAAAGTTTAGCAAAGTTTGGAAACTAATGACATGTGGAATTGCATCTGTAAGCAACTTGTAGAATGTTACTTAAAGGACTCAACTTACAGAATATTTTAATTCATAGACCTCATGCATGTTTCCACTTAAAATCCTTCAGCATTACAATAGACTATTTCAAAATATGAAAAAGAAAATTTCTGTAAATTAAAAATTATTCTGTTATCTCAAATATTGCCAAAACATAACTCATTTCTTTGTAGAGGAAGAATATCAACAACATTTATTTCATTTATTAATCCTTTTCATAAGTTCAGAAGCACAGGACATACAGAAAGATGAAAGGAAAGGGAGAAAAGATATAAACAAAGAAAAATTAAAATGACTATTTACTGAGACTTGCAGATGCTCGTTTTCTGAATATACCACAAAGTTCCAATCTCTGTTCTTAGGACTTTGTGTAATTTTCAGGGACATGACGGTGAAAGTCTCATTCTTTTATTTATCAAAATAAACCTGAGCGTTGCTTTTCCAAGTTCTCAGCGAAAACTTGAGACTTTAGTCATCTTTATAAAAGGCAAGAGGGAGGAAGGATATGGAGGGAAGGAGAGAGGAAGAAAGGGAGGAAGGGAAGGGAAAAAGGAAGGAAGGAAGAAGGGAAGAAAGGAAGGGCGGAAGGAAAGAAGGGAATATTTACTAACAGGGAGCTCTCCTGTTCTTTGAACTGTTTTGTAATTGGTTGATCAGTCCTCATTCAACAGAGTTTCATGTTAGGAACAATTGAAAGTGTCAGCTGAGACCCCTGCTGCCTTTCTGTTAGTGAGAACAACTTACAATAACAAACACACACCAGACTTGGGTGAATTACCTCCCCTACAACCGGCAGGTCTGTTGGAGTTATTTAGTTCTTCAAACAGTCCCGTGTCTATCATTTCTTCCTGCCATGCTATGGGGACAGCTCCTGTTGAGAATCTTTCAAAAAACCTCTTATCTTTGTCATCAAATTCAACCCCCCGGACTTCAGAGAAGTCTTCAATTTCATCGATGTCTTTAGCGTAAACCACTGACGGATCTGGCACAAATGGAGGCTCAATTAAGCCAGCTTCCAGGCGAGGAAAGTTGATGGTGTTGAAGAAAGGGTGTTTCCTGGGATCATCAGTTTTTTCTCTGTGAAGAAAGGAGATTGTCAGTCTGACACACAGTAACCAACCAAAATAGGAAATATTCTAACTGTGAGTAACATGTAGCATTCTTTCCTACAATGTGTTTCATTTTCATTGCAAAAACAATGTGTTGACTTAAAGAATAATTTTGAAAAATAATAACTTAAAAAACATACCCACAATGACAGTGGTGTTTTCATTGTTTATAGACAAACTTCTCATGTAAATGTAATTTTTACTGAGTTAGGCAGTTCACATGACATTTTTAAGGTTTATTTATTTATATATACAGAACTGGGGTACAGGCCAGAGGTGTGGGGGCAGTGAGAGGATTCACCAGAGACAGAGTAAGGAGCAGAACAGGCAGATCTGCTGAAATACACTGCTGAAGAGAGCAGCAGGTGGGTCAGGAGAGGTCTGCTGTGCCATGTGGGTCACCTTCATGGCGGGGAATTGAACTTGTGCTTCAGTGGCTGCTCGAGGGCTTCACAGTGTTGTGCTTTAACTCCTTGTGCTACGAGGGAGGATCCAAAATTATTCCAATATTTACCTTTTAGTAAGGGGGAAACTGTATGTTTCTAATTGTATAACTTCTTGAACTAATTACCTGTAACAAATAGCTACAACATTTAATGACTTAAGACATTTATTTTTCTCACAGTTTCTGTGGGTCAAAAAACCAGACATAGCTTAACTGGATGCTTCTTCTGGTTTAAGGTCTTGCTTGAAACTGCAGTAGAGTTGTTGGTGAGGGTCTTACCTGAAGGTTAAATGGGATTGCAAGAGGGCTGGAAATCTGCTTCAGAGATCACTATGTGGTTATTGGCAAGGTATCATCTCTCACAATGTTCTTAGAATTATTACAAAATATTTCACTGATTGCCTTATAACATTATAGCTGGCTTTTTATAAGGCAAATGATGTGGGTATTGCAGGCAGTGTGGGGGGTGTGAGAGACAGATCTAGCTACAAAGTCACATTCTTTTTATTACCTAATATTAAAAGTGACATTTCATCACTTCTTCCACTTCCTATTGGTTATAAACAAGTCAATAAGCCTAGCGCACCCTTCAGGAAAGGGATTCCATGGAAACCTGGGGATCTTTAGGAATAATTTCTTTGGTCTTTGTAATTCTAAGTTTAAAAAAATAAAAAGGGTGCTGTTTTGTCATATCAGATTCAAGTGTCTCCCCACCCCTTTATTATTATTATTATTATTATTATTATTTATTCATATAGAGCTGGGGTACAGGCCAGAGGCTCAGGGGCGGTGAGAGGCTTCACCAGAGACAGAGTGGGGAGCAGAACAGGAAGATTGACGAAGTACACTGCTGAGGGGAGCAGCGGGCGGGTCAGGAGAGGTCTGGCTCGCCATGTGGTCTCCTCCGGGGCAGGAGGCAGGCAGGAATCGAACTCATGCCGAAGCGGCTTCAGATTCTCAGTGCTGTGCTTTAACCCGCTGCGCCACCAGGGAGGGCCCCCTTTATTATTATTATTATTATTATTTTTTTTAGATTTATTTATTTATTCATAGGGAACTGGGGTACAGGCCAGAGATGTGGAGGGTGAGAGGATTCACCAGAGACAGAGAGGGTAGCAGAACAGGCAGAGCAACGAAGTACACTGCTGAGGGGAGCAGTGGGCGGGTCAGGAGAGGTCTGCCTCGCCATGTGGATCTCCTCCAAGGCAGGCGGGATTCGAACTCATGAGGTACTGGCTTTAGCTTCTTAGTGCTGTGCTTTAACCCGCTGAGCCACCAGGGAGGGCCCCCCTTTATTATTTTTAATGTGACTAGCTACAGTGGTCTGACTAAGAAATGTCTTCTTTTGGGAAGAAGTCAACTTCTGCCGAAATCAATCTTAATAGAAATGAACCACATTTCCGATATTTCTTTTTTTTTTATTCTTGTTATCAAAAAGGTTCTAGGAGAAGGCTGGAAAATATTTTCTCATACGCTCCTTTCAGAGACTTCCCCCATGTCAGGTGATGACACTGGCTGACTCTGCCCAGAAGGTGATTAGAGATAATAATGACAGCATAACAACAATAATGAGAATAACTTACATTTACTCAGAATCTACCCTCAGTCTAAAACTGTAAACCCTTTTCTTATGTGACCATATTCAACGGTCACAGCAACCCTGTTTTAATGGCATTTTGAACTGCATGCTTGTAAGTTGCTATACATCTGAGAAAGCCAGAAGATACAGGTAGATTTTCAAAGGAAAAAATTATAATCAAATGTTGTTATATTAAATAAAAATGTTGTTATATTATAATCAAATGTTGTTATATTAAATCAGTTGGAGGGAAGTATGATTCAGCCACTTCTTAGATTGTTCTGATTCAGCACTACCCTTTCCAGAATTTCTGGGATTTTCCTGTTATGCCCCTACTGAAAAGATAGGTATAAAGAGGGACATCATGTAATACTACACATGTCTCTTCTCTTCCAAAAGCCAACAGGGGACAAAAAGACACACAGGTCACCATCTCCTAGAACCTACTGACCAATGTCTGTATGTCTTACATCCTGTGGAGTGCTGCCTTGGGGAGGGCTCCTGAGATAAACTGAAGCTTTGAGGGTGCATTAAAAAAATAATATAGTAGTTTATTTTTGCATCATGTTATTTCTTTTCCCATCTCAGTTGTTATCCCCGCAGGCTTCCCATCACCAAATCACCATAGTCCAGTGCACTTCCCTCCCCCCACTGTTTTTGATCTCATTTCCCACTCCACCCCCATAAAATGTCTCTGGTATACAGCTGTTCATCATCATTATTATTATTATTTTCTCCCCTGGTGCTTTATACTCCTGCTATGAGTGAAACCATCCGGTATTTTTCCCTTTCTTTCTGGCTTATTTCACTAAGTATGATCTGAGAGTGCACTTTTTTTTTTATTACAAAAGTTTATTTTTACATCATTTTGTACATTTTTTTTTCCATCTCAATTGTAATCCCTGCGGGTTTCCCATCACCAAGTCACCCGTGCGCCATCACCATAATCCCGTGCATTTCCCTCCCCCCCCCATTTTTGATCCCATTCCCCACTCCACATCCGCAAAATGTCTCTGGTATATGGTTGTTCATTATTTTTGTTATTTTCTCGCCTGGTCCATTATACTCCTGCTATGAGTGAAACCATCCAGTATTTTTCTTTCTCTTTCTGGCTTATCTCACTAAGCATGATCTTTTCCAACTCCATCCAAGTTGCTGCAAAAGACAGGTGTTTCTCTTTTTTGGTTGCTGAGTAATATTCCATTGTATATATGTACCACATCTTTTTTATCCTGAGAGTGCATTTTTAAAACAAGTTATGTTTATTGAGACATAATAAGTTACATAGTAACATTCACCATATCCTGGAGATTTTCTTGGTGGTAGTGGGGAGGGACAGGAGGAAGAATCAGAGAGATTGATAAATGTGGTAGAACAAAGACTAAGTTACCATTCCATCCAAGTAGATAGATCAAGAATGAACCTCAGACCTGTATCTCCAAGAGAACAAAGGGGTTGGACTGGGCCCAGCTGCCAGCACTACCTTGACTGCCAGAGGACACGAACACCCTGTCCCAGAGGCCAGGAAGATACTGAAGTGACTGCACAGCTTTAATAAACAGAGCACACCTGGGAACTCAGTCAGGCCAGGAAACTTGCCAGACCAGTCTTCACATCAGGCTGAACTGTTTCCAGGTTAAGCTCTCAAGCATGCAGACCTGGGTGGCCTTGCCTTGTCCATCAGGATGGCTAACAGCAGCCTTTTTGCAATTAGTTATTAATGACAAGGGGACTATGGCCCACTCTAAAACTTTCTTTATGTTCCTTAACATCCCCAACTAGATGCACCTTATGCCTTTTCCCAATAAATGTTGGGGTTGCTGAGGTAACCCCGAAAGTCTAGGCTTTCCAACCACGATTCCTTCTATTCCTATTTCTGGGCCATCACAGAGTTGATCACTTTGATCTTTTACATTAGAGACTATATTTCCATAAATAAAAATAGCATGAAGCTTATTTTTCTCTTGAATCATTCCCCGGCAGGGTCATTTGCCTATTACGACCCAGTTCATCTGGGAGAAATTGAAGAGGAGGTTGCTATACAAAACATCTTTAGCCAAACTGGCATCAGCAGGAAGACTCTTGCTTATAGGAGTGGGATGTTTGTCAGTGCATGAACAGAGGCTCTTGTGTTAAAACTTACATAGGAGTACAAAGATTTTTTATAATGGTGAAGAAAAGCTACTACCTGCCCATACACGAGATGACATGCGGAGTTTGGTCTGCCCAGAACAGTGGGTTTTGGCCTGAAATTGAGTGCTGGCGAAGCACTTCAGTCAGAGACTTGTGATTATTTGTTCTCATTCTACTGCACTGACTAATCAGAATGTAATATGTAACATCCCCAAGAAGTTTTATTTTATTGTATCGGGAACACCATAATTGACTACCTGGAACTCTTGTGAGAGGCTCAGGAAAACTTTTGGCTTCTCTGTAAAATTAACTCACAGCCCCAGGAAGACAAAGAGGAAGTCCTCTGTAGAGATGTGTAAAAGAAGAAACAGTTTTCATTCATTTCAAAAGCTTATGAAAGTAGCGGGGGGCAGGGACCTGGCCTCCCAGCTGTGGGATGCACGTGGCCAGCATGTAGTCTGGAGGACACTTGCTATATTAATCAAATGTTATCCTATGTGAATGAACTTTTTAAAAACACAAAGAGTTGGAATGAAATTGTTGGAAGGTTTTCTCTTTCACAGCTGGTTTTTATATGCCTTTTCTCTAATGTTGTAAACAGTTTTATTCAAAACTGTCAAAATAACAGATGCCTTATGAAAAAAGGTTTTGCTTGAAGGAGTAGCTTCAAGCAAAGATCCAGGGATTGAAGATGGCATTTTCCTGAAGAAGTTGGTCAACATTTAATTTTATAGACCCAAAGTGTGCTTATAAATGCTTGATAGATTTACCAACAAGCACACCATGCCAGGGACGATCCCTTCTGGGAGAATGCCCAGAGAGACAGTTCACTCCCCCAGGCCCCTGTTCCCATTGGCATGCCCTCTTACATTCCCCTGCCCTCGAGAGCCTGGATGGCAGAGATGGTCTGTGGTCACTGTACCCAATTGTCTGCTTTCTGGGTTACACCACTGGCCAGCCCTTCACCAGAGGGCAGGGCTTGAGTGGGTATGAAGTCATGTGTGAAGTGGTCACTCCTGACCCAGGCAGCACAAAATTTAGGTTCTCTGAGTTTCTCTTCTCTTACCACAGCAGCTGGAAGGCACTGGCACCAATGAAACTGTAAGATGGAAGTGGGCTGTGTGCCCAAATCTGGGCTCAGAGGGAGATACCCTGGAGAGTTGGTGAACCCAATCTGGACTCAGTGTGAATGAACAATAATTCCTTCGCTTGGAGTCTTGGACACTTTGGGGTTGGTTTGTGTAGGGGAGCAAAATCCAGCACCCCCAAAGAATGTCTTCTATGGAAGAAGGTTTGCTTCACAGGAGGGACTTTTGAAGGAGATATTTACATCTGTGAAGGAAAAGTCTGTCTGTAAAGGCTTGTCCCTCACTGTTTTGGGAAGACTTGATCTCCTTAACTCATTTCACTGGAGAAAGCAGAATATAAATCTGCTTAGTAGTTTTACTTTTGCTTACTCTGTTTTCTCTGGTAAACTCCCATAACTTACTCTCCTCCTCCCCTCAAGGCTGTTGTCTTAGCTGAGATTATTTAAGAGGGTATCTTGAAGCCATACAGGTGGGGGTTACTCCATCTTACTGGCTTTCTTCTACGTACAGAGGAGGTCCACATGTTATTACAAAACTTATTTTTGTCATTTTTCTCTTATCAGTATTTCTGATGTGCGTGTGATGATTTGCCAGCTTTGAAGATCCCAGAGTTGTATGGGATAATTTTCTTTATACCCTGACAATTGTTACCATTTATTCTGATCATATTAATACCATGTTGGAATCTACACAGAAAAACCAGTTTCACATTTTAGTTCACATAAATGCAGAGTACCATATGCTTTCAAATACTCACATAGTGTGATTATCTGTTAAACTTTGAAAATTATTACCAATGCATTTTTTTGGTCCCTTTAAAAAGTCAGGGAAAAAATGAAAACCTCCATGCTCAAATATTTTGAGCTAAAACAGCCTGTTTTAGAACCTCCTCTGACACTGCCTGGAATATCTAGTGACTTAGTTGCCTTACTTCTGGTGTGATATTAAAAAATCAGTCATGGCCCTCCATGGTGGCAGTGGGTTAAAGCACAGCATTGCAAGCTAGCTGCAGCTGTTTCAGTGCGAGTTTGATCCCTGGCCCACATGGCACGGCAGACCTCTCCTGACCCACCTGCTGCTCCCCTCAGCAGTATACTTCGTTGATCTGCCTGTTGTGTTCTCCACTGTGTCTCCCTCTGAAGCCTCTCACTGCCCTTGCACCTCTGGCCTATACCACAGTTCTGTATGCATAAATAAATAAATATTAAACAAAATCAGTCATACTACTCTATTATTGTAACTTCTTTATGTGTATATGCTTTTAAAAATTTTTTATTTATGCATACAGAACTGGGGTGCAGGCCAGAGGTGTGGAGGGTGAGAGGATTCACTAGAGACAAGAGTGAGAAGCAGAACAGGCAGATCTACTGAAATACATTTCTGAGGGGAGCAGCGGGCAGGTCAGGAGAGTTTTGTCAGCCATGTGGATCACATCCCTAGCAGGGGATTGAACTTGTGCTGCAGTGGCTGCGATAGATTCATAGTGCTGTGCTTTAACCCCTTGTGCCACCAGGAAGGGCCATGTTTTTAAATTTTGAAGACTTGATCCATAATTTAAGACATTCAAGCTCCCAGTTTAGTCAAAGTATTTATTTCCCTACAACATTAATAACTGCTATCACCTATTGAATGATTTCTAACATATATTACATGAAACTTTACAAACTGTATCAAAACCGCATAATAGTCCATTGTAGTAGTTAGTGTTTTCCAGAGAAACAGAACTTACCAAATATTGAAGGGGTTCAGAAAGCACCACATGGACCTTGTGAGTTTAAAATTATTTTATGCTAATGATGACATTTGAGAGTCAAAGATGTACGTTTTTGACCTTTCTTTATTTGCCTAAAGTCAGGGCTTCCCAAAAGAATGCTAAAAGATGAATTATTGCCCAGGAAGTTTCAGTTTTAGAGACAGGGAGGATGGACTCTAATCACCAGTGATAGAAATCAGCACATCTAACTAGAGTTGTCACAAAGCTATCATATCTCCCATCTGTTCTCCCAAGGATCCATCTTCTCTCCTAAAAGTCATTTCTTTCCCTCAAGGCATCCTTCCTCCACATCATTCCTAAGATGTCATTTGTTTTCACGTAAGTGCCCTTCTCTTCTCCTCTCCTTTACTATGCTGTATAGAAGCTCCTAGTCACATTTTTCTGTGTACTACGCATTTTTTTGGTTAATCTCTTTTTTTACTTTAACCTTAGGCCTTCATTCCCAAACCTAAGTAGAGGAAAGGTTTTTCCTCTCTGACAACATTTGTGTGTGTGTCATCACATACCATGCACACCACATATATGTATATGTGGCATACATACATGGATAGCCACAGACACACAAACACAGGGAGAGGTTTACATATTTTAAGAAATTGACTCATGTGATTGTTGAAGCATGGCAAGTCCAATTTCTACAAGGTAGGCTGTCAGGCTGGAGACAGAAGAGTTGCAGTTCAAGTTCAGAGGTGGTCTACTGGCAGGAGTCCCGCTTCTCCCTGAGGAGTCAGTCATTTTCTATTGGCACTTTCAACTGATTGGATGATTTACCCGCATTACGGAGACTAATCCACTTTAATCAGAGACTACCGGTTCCTCATCTCTGAAAAACCGAAGGGCCTGTCTGGTGGCGCAAGGGGTTAAGTTTCAGCACTATGAAGCTATCCTCAGCCACAGCTGCAGGAGGTGGTCCTTTGCCAGTGAGCTGACCCACAGGGTGCAGCAGACTTCTGTCTCTCCTGTGGCTCCCCTCTGCAGTGTACTTCAGTAGATTTGCCTGTTCTGCTCCCCACTCTATCCACTCCCCACCCATACCGCTGGCCTGCACTCCAGTTCTTGTATTCATGAATAAGTCTTTTTTTAAAAAATACACCTGCACAGAAACATCTAGCATAAGATTTGCTCAAACAAGTGGGCATTGTGACCTAGTCGAGTTAACACATAAACCATCCAACAAAAAAGCCCATTTTACATATAAGGATACTGAGACTCAGCAATTCAATTGCATGAAGTAAAATGACTCATGTACAGCAGAGCTGGAATGTGAGTTTATGTTTGTGGTTCTAAAACCTTTGGTTTTCTCCCTAAGTAACACTGTCCCATGGTCAAGGGTCTTTTCACAAATTAGCTTTTTTTTTTTTTTTCACTTCTAAAATACCTTGATCTGACTGTTCATTGCAAGCAGTAAAACATGACTGTTAATCAAAACTGACTTTAACTATATTTATAGTTGGCAAAATCATCTGTACTCACTAGATATCTGTTGACTGGTGATATTTTATGGAAATGCTTAAGAACAGAAGAATTTCTTGTGACTCTCAGTATTGATAGGTTTTTGTTTTTTTTAAGATTTATTTATTTGTGCACACAGAACTGGGGTACAGGCCAGAGGCTCAAGGCCGTGAAAGCCTTCACCAGAGACAGAGTGGGGAGCAGAACAGGCAGATGGACGAAGTACACTGCTGAGGGGAGCAGCAGGCGGGTCAGGAGAGGTCTGGCTCCATGTGGTCACCTCCGACCTCTGGAACAGGCTTTAGCTTCTTAGTGCTGTGCTTTAACCCGCTGTGCCACCAGGGAGGGCCAGTATTGATAGTTTCTTTAAAAAATTTATTCCCATGGTTCAACATTCAAAAGATAATCAACTTAATCCTTATTTGCATCCCTACACCATCCTCTAATTTCCTTTTATAGTGGCAACAACCATATACAGTCCTTATTTATTTTCCTAGAAATATTCTATACAAGTGTTTGACTCATGTATTCTTTTTCTTCTTTTAGTGTATGTTATTTTGTATTTTTTCACTTTGAAATATATCTTATGAATTGTATCAAGTATTCATAAGGTTAGAAGGTATGAGAAATACTGACCTACATAATAAGCAGATCATAAAAGAAAAATAATGCTACTACTTAATCCCAAGGCTTTGCCATTAATTCAAGGTATTCTCCAAATCCCCTGGGTAATGCTGACATCAGCCATCATCTGCGTCACACGGTGCTTTACCTGCTTCCCAAGCGTTGCTCTGGTTCCTTAGCCAAGAACAGTCGACAGATATCTTTTGCTTCTTCTGTGAAGTTATCATGCTGGAATCTGACTTCTTCTTTCAGGGTTCTTTGCTTTAAATCCTCTTTACTGACTTTCTCCTTGTAATCTTTGAATGGTGTTCGTCCAGCAACCATTTCATAAATACTGCACCCCATTGCAAACCAGTCCACAGGGTAGGAATAACTCGCCTTTTCCATGAGGATTTCAGGTGCCATATAACCATGGGTTCCAGCCTGTAATACCCCAAACAAAAAGCAAAACAAAACAAAAACACTAGTGAGTGGAACAGATGAGGGCGGACTGTTCAATAACCCTTCTTTTCTTACCTTATTACGGGAGCTCTAATTAGGTGGGAGAGGCAATGCTTTTAACCTTTATGTTTGACTTACTCTATTCCTTGCTTTTCCGGAGCTTCTGGGGCAGTATGTGTGCACCATGTGACCCATTCTGCCAGTGGATTTGGCTGGCATATAACTGCAAACAGATGGCTAAGGGCCAGTGCCTCGCCTCTCTTAAATCTGTTCACCTTACCTAATGTGAAAAGTTCAAGTGGCTATCTCTAAGATCCCCTAAATGCTGGCTGTTTTTATGTACAGATTATTGGATAGCTAGCTTATTTTTTTTTAGCCCAGAAGTTTTTAATTTTATTTAATTTCCACACCTATCAAGCCAAGACTTCAAGGGTGTGGGTTCCAGCAGCTCAGGCTCCTTGGGTTCTCATGCAGTTTGCTGCTCTGGGTGGAACAAGCTGGTACTTCAGCTGAATCCAAGTACCTTTCTAATGGCTTCCTTTTTTTCTGCTCCTTTTCTTTCACACATTTCAGGGAGATATCTTGGCTCTTAGGGTGCTTATTATAGTCAATATGTAACATTTATTCTCTGGGCAAGAATCTTAGCCTTTACTTGTTTGTTTACAACAATGTTGACTATATGCAGGAAAACATCATAGTGTTGCCATGGCAGAATTTGTGGGACATTCCTTTTTGAACATCCCCTTGATGGCTACAATATCACCTTTCTTGTAGATTGGCATGCATGTGGCCAAAGGAACAACTCTAAGTTCTAAAAGCCCAGAGAACTGGGCCTCCCTGGTGGCACAGAGGTTAAAGACACAGCACTTATCAAGCTATCAGCAGTGACTGCAACTTGAGTTCCATCCCCAGACAGGGAGCTGACCCACATGACACAGCAGACCTCTCCTGTCTCATCCCCTGTCCCCGTCAGCAGTGTATTTCAGTCAATCTGCCTGTTTGGCTTCCCACTCTGTCTCTGGTGAATCCTCTCACTGTCCTGCACCTCTGGCCTGTACCCCTGTTCTTGAATGCATAAATAAATAAATAAATCTTTTTTTTTTTTTTTTAAAGACCCAGAGGACTTACAGTGGGTGCTTCTCCTCTTTCTCTTTGTGCTGGTTGTAAAAATAAATCCAGTCCAATCAAAAGGAAAAGGTGCATAGGATTTTTTTAAGCTTGACTCTAGTGATCATTGGGTTTTAAAAAGAAATTAATAGCTAGCTAGCTAGATATAGATATACTTATATGTACATATTTAATTGTGATAAAATACAGCATAAAATTTACCATCTTAATAATTTTTAAAATATTTTTTATGCCTACAGAACTGGGGTACAGGTCAGAGGTGCAGGGGTGGTGAGAGGCTTTACCAGAGTCAGAGTGGGGAGCAGAACAGGCCGACTGATGAAGTAGATGGCTGAGGGGAGCAGCAGGTAGGTCAGGAGAGGTCTGCAGAGCCGTGTAGATCACCTGTGGGGTCGGGATCGAACTCCTGCTGAAGTGGCTTTAGCTTCTTCGTGCTGTGCCTCCGGGGAGGGCCCCCATCTTAATAATTTTTAAGTGTAAAGTTCAAGCATATTAAGTACATCTATATTGTGCAACCAATCTCCAGAATGCTTCACTTTGCAAAACTTAAACTATTTTAGAACAACTACTCATTGTTCAGCCTTCCCAGCCCCTGGCAACTATCATTTCATTTTATTTTATTTTTTTAAGATTTATTCACTGTGCACACAAGAGCTGGGTACAGACCAGATATGCAGGTGGGAGTGAAAGGATTCACCAGAGACAGAGTGGGGAGCAGAACAAGAGGATCTACTGAAATACATTGCTGAGGGAAGCAGCAGGCGAGACAGGAGAGGTCTGCTGCACCATGTAGGGAATCGAACTCATGCTGCAGTGGCTGTGGATAGCCTCATAGTGTTGTGCTTTAACTTGTTGTGCCACCAGGGAGGGCCCCCACCATTCTATTTTCTGTCTCTCTGACTTTAACTACTCCAGATACTTCATGCTATATTTTTTTTGTGATCATTTATATAAATTCAATGCATTCATTCATTTCGTCTTTTTGTTTATATAAATTTAATACATTCATTCATTCAACAAATATTTAATGAAAATCTAAAGCACACATTATCATTTTAAAGAATATATTTACATTATAATGTTTCCACAAAAATTAAGTGGAATTAATTTGATTAATCTATAATATGTAGTCTCTGTAGTTGTTGAAAAACTGAAAACTATGTAATATCCTAAAGTGACAATAGACTTCTGTTTGCACATTAAAATGAAAATATATAACCTATTGGTAAAGATGTCAGAAACAGATGTGCTCTGTAGTTGACTGAGACTTTTAGAGAAAAAGACATAGAGCAATAGAAAATATGACTTGTCCACTGTTCCTGTCCTTCAACCATTTATTTTATTTTGGAGTATACACCTCAAATACATTGCTCAGAGAAAAGGAAAAGGAACCTATATCAAGATGTCCGCAGTCTATTCATAATGATAATAAGCTGTAACACCCAAATGCCATCAATAAAGACAACGGACCATCGTCTGTTGTTAACACTAGAAAATTTATAGGTAAAGGACTTTACACACTGATTACAAAATGCATTTCAGTATCAAAACAGGTAGGAAAGTATTTAGCTGTTCATTAACTGGTTATTTTATGTCTAATTGCTTGTTATATTTTTATATGGGTACAGTACATGTCGAGTCTTAAGAAAATTAAATTTTGTGGATAATTTTTGCATGGATAACAACAATGAAAAACAAGCACTACTGAGTAGTAACTGGCCAGTGCAAGAAAATTCTGGAAGTGAATGGGATCTGAATGGCTGAGCATGAGTCAGCAAGGCACCACTGTTTTCATAGAAGTTGATCTATAATTTGGGTGACCAAATGTTCAGGTTTGCCTGGGACAGTCCTGGTTTAAATCTGTTGTCCTGGCAACTTGTCCAGTTTTTCAGTTGCCAGACAGAAGTGACTTGAGGCCCAGGATACAGTCTTACTTGTCTTCGTGTCCAACCCAGGTACTGACTGAAGAGCCTTCCTTGGTGCATGGCCAACAAGCATTTGTTAAAATAAACAGCAGTAAAGATGGTAACTAGATATTTTCTGTCCACTATTCAATAAACATTGAGCCATTTCCTGTAGTGAGTTCTAGGGATACCAAACACATAACTCCTGGGCCCCTGCCCTTGATGATAAACAGCTGGTTGAACATGGGTCAAAGGGTTAATTCAATAAAGTAGGGTAGGTGCCATCAAAATTAGAGTGTGAAACAGGCACAGGGGAGCTGGAGGATGTGTGTGTGTGTGTGTGTGTATGTGTGTGTGTGTGTGTGTGTGTGTGTGTGTTGGGCAGACTTCCCTGAAGAGTGACATCTGGGCTGAATCGAGGGAAGAGTGTCACCCAGAGAGGGTTAATAAACATGTGCAGATGGAGTTAGGGAATTTGAGGACATTTGACTTCTGGAATCTAAGATGTGTTGGGATGCAATGGTGGGAGGGGAAGTTGGCAAGGGAGATGTGAATGCGATCAAGAAATACTGTATGTCAAGGTTGCAAAACCCATCCCCAGGTTCTTTTTTCCCTTGCCTCCCTCTGATATAGAGACCAGAAGGCTAAGTGTCCCATTTCCCAGCCTCCTTTGCACATAGATTGGCCATAGACATGAGCTTTGAGGCACGCAAGGTGAAGGTGCTGAGGGCTGAGACAAAGGAGAATGAGTTTACTTTAAAATATATAAAAGATATTGTCACCAGCTCTGAGGGTCAGCTGTCTGGGGTTGACTGTAAGCTAATTAATACAACGACTACGTTTGGTAAAGCTGAGCAAGAACATTATTGCTTGGCAAGCCATGGAGAAGTGGGAATTCATGTTCCAAAGCATCTTCTTTCTGGGCATGGAGAAAGGGTGTATTTTAAAGGAAACAGGAGAGAGACTTGTCAGGAACAAAGTTAGGGGTAAGGTCCCTGCAGGATCCATCACCCATCATGTCTCTTTGCCTCTTGGTTCCTCCCAGCTAGTTGGGTAGCTTCAGGCTGACCCTGGCTGGTTAAGAACTTTGCCCTTTTGAATAGCAGCAGTTCCTACAAAAGATTCCACCTAGAACAGAACAATAGCTGGATGAACATGTGCTTAGTAAAATGTTAAATGTTTCATTTTTTTGGCATGGGATAAAAGTTCTGCATGGAGGCAGCAATAAAAGCACAGAGCCTTTCATCAAGGCAACAAAATGATGATTGAATGGACGGATAGGGGATGGGAAGGTGGACAGAGACATGAGAAGCCAATCTAATCCAATCTATGCAATGGAATATTATTCAACCCTAAAAAGGAATGTCACAAGGGTGAATGCTGAAGCATTATGCTAGAGGAAAGAAGTCAGTCACAAAAGACCACATATTGCATAATCCTATTTCTATGTCATATCCAAAACTGGCAATTTCAATGAAATTACTGATCTCTAAGGACTGGAAGAGAGGGATATGGGAGTGATTACTGAAGAGTACAGGGTACTCTGTTTTGGATAAAGAAAATAGTAGAATTGTTATCATGCTGGCATATTTCTGTGAAGATACTAAAAACCATTAAACTGTACACTTTCAATGGGTACAATTTTTATGGTAATTAGAGTAGATATCAACAAAGCTTTTTAAAATCTTAAAGATAAACTCAAGGTAAAGAGCAGTCAGGTGCTTGCTGTGAAATTTTTTTCCATTTTACTGTATGCTTGAAGGTTTCCATAATACAAGGTAGAGGGGGAAAAAGGAGGGAGTCATAGGGTGTGCACAGGGCGTACAGGCAGGATGCTGGTGCAGCCAGGCACAAGGGAGTCTTCTGGAAGGATCACAGAGGGACAGCCACAGACAGAGTAGAGAAGGGGGAGCTTACCTGTCTAGCTCCCTCCTAGCTGCCATTTCTATT